CCAGGCAGAGATCCCGTTGCTGAATTTTTTTTTTAAAAAAAAAACCCTGGTCATAGGTCTTCTAGGAAAATTAGTAAATTCGTTCAGAAGAACAGAATACTATTGCAGAATGTTTCTGTGCCAACTGTCTGTCACTTGAGCATCTTGAAGAATGGCTAAAGCTTTCATTCCAATCCTTGGAAGAATAATTAGGGGCAGATTTTTTTCCCCCACTGGCTCCTAATGCTGGATATGAGAGAGACAAAGCAGGTAACTTTTCCAATCTCTTAACTTGTCCCACAGAAAAGATATAAGAATAGGAACCCTTTACAAGCCTTGAGGCAGATTACATCTTAGCCATTAGGGAAGTCCAAATGATGCTACCAGTTCTTTTTCAACTCAAGGACTGGAAGAATCTTTCCTTCCTTCCTCCCTCCATCCCTCCCTATGGCTCAGATTGTAAATGTAAACTAGAACCAAATTAAAAGAGAATTAGACCCTTGTCCTGTTGTCAGAATCTCATATGAATCTTAAAATGGATAACAGCTTAACCTCATAGCGTAGTGGTAAAATCATGTTTCTTCAATTAAGTTCCCACTCAATAAAAGAGCTTAGTGGATGATTTTGGCCTCGGCTCGGTCATTTCCTCTCAGTCTACCTTACTGCACACAATTTTCTTGAGAGGATAACATTAGGAAAGATGTGCTTATTTTCAGCTTATCTTCCTCCTACTGAAAAGAGCAAATCCCGAGAGCAGATTAGCACAAAGTTAGCATTTTAGGATTTTTCTAACAGTTGCTCATGCTTCCAGATGCCACACAGTCAAGCCTTTGTTTCATTTCCACATGAATGCCTGGATATTTGCAACCTATTACAACTGCAAAAAATGGATCTCGTAATGAAGAAATAATTGGGACTCTGATATACTTAATAGCACGCAGGCTTGCCAACTGATTGCAAAGTAGCTTCTAGCCTTAGAATTTTAGCCACACCGATTCGTGCAAAAAAGAAAATTGATTGCTGTAGATCTGGAAGTCATCATTAAAATTTTGGACTGGGTGTTTGTGTGTTTCTTTAAAGATATGCTATAGAGCATGCACATCTCGTATACTCAAGATATTTGTGTTTGGTGCATATCAGGGGTGGGTTTCAACCGGTTCGCGGCAGTCCCNGTTGTGTTAAGGTTTCAAAAATTAGCTTGAATTACACTCTTTGTGGGGAATGGAAGAGAAATTCTTAGTTCACCACAT